GGGAGAGAGAGAGAGGGGAGGAGGGAGGAGGATTGGTGTGCTCCCACCTAACAGGCACAATGTAAAGGTATACACCAACTGGGTGAGGGGCACAACTACAACAGGGAGTTTACCTAACAAATGCAAACATTATCACCTAATCTTTTTTACCTTCATATTAATCTGAAATTTTAAAAAAAATACTTTCTGTGGTGATTTTAAAATATGTCTGCAAATTCTCATCCCTTCAAAAAGTGTGGACTAATTCTCCTTTCATCCTTTGAATGTGGGCTGTATTTACTGACTTGCTTCCAGCAGTGAAAGAGCCTAACTTCTGAGTGCGGGTCATAAAGGCATAGAGGCTTCCTGTTTTACTCTCCCCCTCTCTCACTGACTCTCTCTGCTCATCTTCTAGTCTCGCCATGTCATGAGGATGCTCAAGTAGCCATGGAGAGGCCCATGCAGAGAGACACTGAAGCTTCACCAGCATCACCTACTAGAGAATGAAAGAAATTTTGGAACTGGGATTTCTGATACTAAATCCTAAACTGTTCTCCATGTTGAAAGCAGACATTCCCGCCCCAGTCAAGCCTCCAGATAACTATGGCCCCAGCTGCCATCTTGACTGAGGCTCCATGAGACACTGAACCAGAACCACTTGGATTCCTGACCCACAGACACTATGGGAGGGAAGGTCATGTTAATGCTCATTTCTCACAACACTTCGCTCAGGGTTGTTCTCCTAGTAGGTGCATGTTCAGTACTTGTCAGCCAATGACTTTGCCTGGGAGAGACTGACACCCCAAGGCATGAGAGTGCATTGAAAGGGCTATAATTTGGACTTTCTTACTCAGCAAAGAGAATGTGAAGTGGTGAATTAAGGATACAACATGTGAGAATGTTATATTCAATTCTTACAGCTTCTGTAACAAATTAACACAGACCTGATGCCTACAACAACAGAGATTTACGCTTGTATAATTCTGGAAGCTAGAAGTTGAAAATCAGTTTCATTGGCCTAAGGTCAAGGCATCAGCAGGGCTGCTCCATTCTGAAGATTCTGGGCCAGAACACCTTTCCTCACCTCTCAAGCTACTGGGGCTGCACTTCCTGCTCCTTGTGGCTTATGGTGATTTCCTCCATCTCTCTGCTGCTGTCTACACATCACCTGCTCTCTTCGCACCCTTGTGATGACATCTGCCCCACCTGAAAATCCAGGAGAATGTTCCTATCCTAAGATTTGTAACTTCATCTGCAAAGTCCCTTTTGCCATATAGCAACATGCACAGGTCCTGGGAATGAGGACTCGGTCATATTTGGAGGGCCAATAGTCAGCCTACCACAAGCAGAAAACTCTCCCTTCTAGAGTCCAACAGATTTGAATTCAAATCCTCTAATTAACAATTGTACAATATTGAACAAACAACATTAAACTGAGCCAAGGTTTTCTTATCTCCATAACAAAGACAATAAAACTTACTAAATGAATAGCACATGGAAAGAGCACTGGCACTTCAGTGGTTTCTGAATAAATGCTGGCCTTTCTCTTCCTTCCTTTTATTGAGTAGGTGGGAAGAAAAAGACCTGGTCCAAGAAGGAAGAGGCCTCAGCAAGCTCGGGACTTGTGAGTGGTTTATATGGCACTTCCCATGTACAAGGTAATTTGATGCCTGGTATCTAATGTAACGATTATTCCCATTTTATCAAATGAAAAAGCAGAAGCACAAATGAGTGATTTTTCCCAAGTCAACCCCCTAGTAAGTGTCAGAACTAAGCTTTCTGATGCTAAATCCTAGACTTTTTTTTTTTATATACTTCATGCATTTGGGAACCATCTATAAAAATCAGAACAGCTACCAAAAAAACTAAATGAAATGAAAAAAGGACAAGAAAATAGCACATTGTCATGAATGGAAGGAGAGAGGGGGCACAGAAGCTTTGTGACGACAGAAAGGGAAAGAATTCTGGGAATGAGAACAAGTCTGAGTGTCCCTTGGAGGTTCAGACCAGCTCTTGGGGGAACAGCAAGGGGATGGGACTTGCCTTCACCTTGACATGATCCATTCTAATTCTCATCTCATGCAGGCCGGAGAAGCAGTGTTGAAAGTTATCTCAGACCTTTGGTGATAAGTGACTTTCCAACGCGGCTAATCGGTTTGGCTTGTCTGATGTGATACCATCAAGAGTCAAAGGTTAATCCAGCGATGATTCTGGGAGGAATAAAATGGAATCATGCCATGGTGTGGCCTGCCTGGCTCCTGAGCATGAAGTTTTCTCTATGGTTCATCAGCCAAGCTGAGGCCAGACCCCAAAGGTCCTAGAGCTACTCTTTGAGAGACCCAGGTTCACACCAGATTTACAGTGAGGGGAAAAATCTGTTTGTTATGGGCTAGGGTGAGAATAATAAAATGAAATCAATAATAGGACACATCACACTTGGCCCTTTCAATTTGCAAAACACTTTAACCTACACTTTTTTAAACTGACCTCAAAAAATCATGCTCCTTTTACAAAAAAGGGAAATGGATACAATTAAAGAACTACCATTTTTGACTATTGAACAAGAGCTAATCTTTGGACAAGGAGTCTCATAGCATCATGTAAATGTAATCATCTCAGTTTCTCTGTGAATTAGGTCTTCTCACCTGCAGAAGGGCTTAGGGTTCAGAGAGGTTAAGTGGCTTGCCCAAGGACCACAGCTGCCAGGTGACGGATCAGAATTCAAACACAGGAGGGCAAGGTGCCTACTAGCAGAAAATTTTCAATGAGAATGCCAGTACTCAGTGAACAGCCCACTGTAAGCAGGGTCATCTGCTACCATCTGTGCTCTCAGAAATGTGCTGGCCCCTCTCCTATCCGAGAATCACTGCTCCACAGCCTTGCCACCGGGCCAACTCTGTGCTCTGGGGTTAGGTTAAGTCATCGCTGGCTTCAGGCCCTTCTCCATTAGAAAACACCCGTGGGAAAAATGAATGCACTGAGTTAGCATACCGTAGCATAAATCAGAAGAAATATGGCATGGCTAGGAGCAGGCAAACTCCCCAGTTATCATAGTATTCTATGAACGAGAGGTCCTGAAGAGGTTTGCTGTGTAGGGTTTGCCTTTTTTAAGGAGCCCTGATTGTGTGGACTGGAGGGCCCGCTGACCATCACTCCACCTGAGATCAACTCAGCAGAGGGCAGGATGGCTCTGTCTCTATTGTGGCTGTAGTTGCCTTTGGAGTTTAACTCGGGAATACTGGGTGTCCATTGATTGAACTGTACACAAACACTCCAGAGCCTGCTTCCTGCCAGAAACAGATTCTGAAGCTATAGCAACCAGGCCGCATAAGGAGAGCTCTGCCCAGCTAGGCCAACTCAGCTCCTACCAGCAAGGGAGGGTGAGGGCCTCTGAGTGTCTGGCCAGCCAGCCAGCAAACCTTGCATGCTGAGGCTGGGCCCACACTTGGTCTGCACACAGAGGGAGGAAGAAGTTTCAGCTGAGAGGAGGCTCTGGTGGGCTGAGGCCAGAACCCACGGAGCAGAGGAGGAAGGGAGCCATTAGCCTGGAGGGACAGAGGCCAGACCTGGGTGACTAATACCACCAGTGGCGCATCTGAGCTCTGGTGCTAATGCCACCTGAAGGAAATATCTCAGACAAGAGACAGCTGTTCACCTGACCACCTTCCTGGCTGGTGACAGGAAACTGTGTCATGTCCCTTAGAATTCCACCCTGGGGAAAAGATCATCTAGGAGCTGGGTCAGTCATAGGCCCAGGGCTTTTGTGCTATCTCAGAGCCTGAGCACAGGGCAAAACCATCTTGGATAACACATGAAAAATTAAGTCCTCCTTCCCAAGGCTTTCTGACAGTTGGCAGGTGGGCCTCCGTGCCAGCTGCCTTCACTTCCCCTCGGCATCTGGATGCTCTCACAGCAGGCAGACAGGCCCAGCCAGACTTCAGATGGCTCCACATGGGAGCAGGATGCAAATAGCCTCCTGACGACTTCTTGGGACATTATTGTCCCCTTCTGGCTAATTTCTGTCTCGATGTTTCTAAGAAGAGATCTTTTCTCCCTCTCAGCTGCTCTCCCATTCAGTTTAATTTAGAAGGAAACTCTTTAAAATATTGCGCTGAGATGTTTCTGGTTCAGGAAAGGAATCCCAGCCACAGTGGGTGGTCTGCCCTGCTCTGAGGCCTGGCAGCTGGCACTGGCTCCCCAGCAGGTGGTGAGGACACATCCTGTGATCCAGTGCAGATAACAGGGACAGGAACATGGCACCCTACAGCCATCTCCAGCTTAGCCTTCCCACCCCTCTGCAGTGAGGAATCCCACTTCCTAAAGGAAGACCGTGTGATCCCTGTCCCTGGCTCAGCCCTGGACAAAGTGCAGAAAGGGCTGTTGAAAGACAGTAGTGAAGTCAGAGAGGTGGGCTTCGAGGCAGACAGACTGAGTCAAACCTAGGGCCCCCCCTCCGGCTGGGTGGCTGTGGGCAAACTGCTTAATTCCTTTATGCCTCCCTTTCTTCTTCTGTCACCTCAAAGGGCTATGGGTTTTTGTTTGTTTGTTTTATGTTCTGAGGATAATCAGAGTTAGTGAGCACATGAAGTATGGCCAGGCAGGGGCCAAACACGTACTCAGTGTAGGTCCTTCCTCCAGTTCCTTTCACCAGGGCAGAGGCCTAGGCAGAGGGCCTGGAGCTCAGGCTCAGAGCACCTGCTGTCAGCTCTGTCCGCACCGCCGCTCCTTCTCTGAGGCTCCCATTTGAGGGAGCATGATCTGCAGAACAGGACAGAGCCTAAACCCTGAGACAAGGACAGCCTGTCCAGGTTCTGTGTTCTCCCTGGGCACAGAGCCCCAGGAGGCCACCCAGGGAAGCAACCACAGGCACCCACAGGCACCCACATTTGCATGACATATTATAAACCTCAAAGCACCCTTATCTATTATCACCCTTTGAGGCTGATAGAGCAGGTGTGTCTTTCATCTTCCTCATTTCACCTAAGAGAAGCCCAAGGTGGCTTTGCAGCGCTGTTGCTTCTTATAATCGTCTTGTATCAGCCATGGTCAACTGCAGCATGTTCTTCGATATTGCCACCGACGGCGAGCCCTTGGGCCACGTCTCCTTCGAGCTGTTTGCAGACAAAGTTCCAAAGACAGCAGAAAACTTTCATGCTCTGAGCACTGGAGAGAAAGGATTTGGTTATAAGGGTTCTTGCTTTCACAGAATTATTCCAGGGTTTATGTGCCAGGGTGGTGACTTCACACGCCATAATGGCACTGGTGGCAAGTCTATCTACGGGGAGAAATGTGAAGATGAAAACTTTGTCCTGAAGCATACAGGTCCTGGCATCTTGTCCATGGCAAATGCTGGACCCAACATGAATGGTTCCCAGTTTTTCATCTGTACTACCGAGACTGAGTGGTTGGATGGCAGCACGTGGGCTTTGGCAAGGTGAAAGAAGGCATGAATGTTGTGGAAGCCATGGAGCACTTTGGGTCCAAGAATGGCAAGACCAGCAAGATGACCCCCATTACTGAATATGGACAACTGTAATACATTTGACTTAATGTTTCAACCACCAAACCATTCCTTCTGTAGCTCAAGAGAGCACCCTTGTACCCCATTTGCTTACAATATCCTGTAATCTCTGTGCTCTCAAAAAAAAAAAAAAGAGAGAGAGAGAGAAACCCAAGTTCCAGCAGTTTCTATAACCTGCCTGGGGTTACAGAGCTGTAAGACCTCAGAGTTGGGGTTCAAACTCAGTTCTTATGGTTCCCAGTCCAGAGGCCTCCACCACATCTGGTATAAATGAGTATCTTTCTTCCAAAGCTGCATGCACCCAAGTCTGAGGAGGAAGAGATAAGAACTCGTCCAAGGTTAACCACAGCCTCCGGTGGGGAGGGCTGGGTAGGGACTGACCTCTCCGGACTAGCTTGTTGATTTAGTGCTAGCTTGACCCCTTCAATTAGCTGCTGGACAGAGCCAGACCCAGGGGAGATGAACAGTGGGGCTTAATGGAAATGGGGATGCTGGTGACGATATGAACACTCTAAATTATGGTCTCAATTTGCACAGAGCCTGATGGATTTGCAATAATTCCAAACCAGGTCAAGTGTCGGTGTCTCTGCTTTTGCTGATCTCACACAAGGTACCTCCATTTGTCAGACTCCGAGTCCCTCTCTAAGAAGCCACCTGCCCCCTGTTCCTCCCTGCTTTCCTGCTGCTCTTTGCAGGTCTCTCTGCAGTGCTCTGACCCGAGGAACCTCTGCAGCTGCGCCCAGAGGGACTAAAGCTGCTCTTAGCGGGGTCAAGTCCTGGGAGCTTTGGGGCCATCCACAGACACAGTGCACACGGAGCTCCCCGCTACTGTGCAGCCTCATCTGATGGTCATTTTTAAGACAAGGGGCAGCATGGTTTGGTATCATAAGGCATCATCGTGTCAGGTGTAGGTGTAACATGGCTATAGCTTATCGACTCAGGGAAATAATCAGAGACAGTCCCACTAGTAGTAGAAACTAGGAGAGCAGAGCCTGGAGCCAATGCCAGACCTTCCTCCAGGCCAAGCCAGGAATAACTGACAAACTCCATGGTTGCTGAGCAGCAGCTGGTATAAAGGTAAACCAGTTGACTTTCCTTTGTTCTGACTTGCTTGGCTTACTTTTTTATTTTCCCCTTTTTCTGAGGGTGTTTTCCCTTGCCAAGAATGGGGTCTTCAGTCCCCATTCTGCCTGCAATAAGTCCCAGCACAGCAGACATCAGGCACTGTGGAAAGACGTTCTTTAAATCATTCTTTCAAGGGATCTGAAGGTCACGGTTTACTTCCTGGCAAGAAGAATTCAATAAAACTCTCAGAATCATTATTGTCAATGGTTTACTATTGACAAAGGTCTTTCACTACATTATCCCACTTAGTCACCACATCAGTCCTGTGAGGCAGATTAGACAGACATTACTCTGCATTTTACAAATGTGAAAATTAGAGGATCAGAGAGGGCTATGTCTTGCCCTAGGTTGCACAGCTTGTGAGTAGCAGTGCAGGGACTCAATCCCAGGCTTCTGTCTTCATAGCCCTTGTCTCACCATCAAATCATGATACTCACTCTAGTGTTGTAACACCTGGGACTGTTGGATCTGTAGGTAGCAAGATAAATCCTAAAAAATAAGAAACTGCTAGTGGCTGATCTTGCATGAGAAATAGTTTATGTGGTGTCTTTTTTTTCATATCTCAGAAAGGAAGAGGCTCAGATCTAAACATGGACTCAGAGCCATTAAACGTGTCCAACAGACTGGGTGTGGTGAATGTTTTTATTTCACATTCATTATTTATCCGTCCATACATTCTACAATTATGTTTCTGTCCGGGGCAGAGGGATATGATGAGTACATGGCTCCTGCCCTCATGGAACTTAAATTCTACTCAAAATCATAGAAAATAAATAAACAACAAAAAACCCTCTGCATTATGCTAAGTGCAATGAAGTAAAGAAATAAAGGACTAAGGTAGATAATAGGGGGTTTGGGATTCCATCTGGGGAATGGAATCAGGCCCCGGGACTGACCAGGTCTCCATCCCCAGCTTCTCTATTGTCTGGACTGCTGAGCTACCTTGCTCAGGATCAATTACCCTTAGGTGCCTGAGGGCTATTCGCTTTAGCAGTAGGGAGAAAGAGAGAAAGCATTTGAAGGAGAGATAAGAGATAATTATTCATTCTTTTAATAAGCAGTCTTATTAAAAGAATGAATCTTAGCAATCTTTCATAGAGAGAGATGCTGAACAGGTGTTCTGCAGGCAGGAGAAGTGAAAGAGTCAGAGCGAGCAGGTCCCTGAAAGAACGTGCACTCCCCGACTGCCTTCTCCTGCAGCTTCTTATAGACCTGATCCTGTGGCGCTTGGCACCACAGGTGTAGAGACTGCCAATCACTGCTGTTCTCGTCTCTCCAGCTCTCATGTCAGGAGACCTGAAACCCTTCCCCATGCCCTTATCACCAAGGTGTTATATTACCGAGATGTTACCAGTGTTCCTTATGATTACATAGTATTCTGAGCTTAGCTCTCACTCCTCCTTACCATGAGCTATGGTCTGCTACAGAGGGGAAAAGGTATATTTTTTGGACACCCTGCTTCAAGGAAGACCTCTACAGAGGTCTCACTGGAAAAAAAAATGAAAAGAAACCAGGTATATGAAGAAACCACAGAAGAGCCTTCCAGACTGACTATCTGGGGCAACTGCCCACACCACCCCTATCAGGGAGACTCTGCAGAGTCTTACAGTGAAGACAGATTTACTGGAATGAACAGACCAGGAATGTGGCACCTCGTGAAAGGGCAGAGAGCAAGGGTGGGTTGCACAGTATTGTGTCAGCCAAGGGAAAGAGCAAGATTTGGTCTCTCTACATTAAAGGGCTTTGTGCAGGTAGGAGGCGTGAGCTAATATATATTGTAGGAAGGTCATTCACATTGCTGCTTGGGGAACAGCGGTGAAGTTAAAAGAAGAAGCCTCATCAGGAGTGATGGCAGATTGGGGAAGGTGGTGGAAAAGAGAGAAATGAGTGCAGACTCTATTTTAGAGGTATAATTGACAAAATTTGCTATTGGGTCAGATAGGCAAAGGAGAAAGAAAAGAATCAAGAGCAATTTTTAAAATTCTAATTTAGATAATCGGATGGGTGGCAGTGACATTTATTGAGATGGAGCAGACAAGTCGAGAGCATTTCGAGCAAAAAGGTGGGGGTGAAGAGTTCTCTTTTGGATGTGTCAACAATGGTATGTGAGTGGGACCTTGGGGAGGAGACATGAAGTATTTGGATGTGGAAGACTGTAGTATGAATTGTTAGGCCTGGTTTGGGGATACACATTTGACAATTGTCAGCACCTAGACAGTATTCTAAAGTCACAGTAATGAGACTGCCCAGAAAGAGTGTGTAGAGAGGGGATAGAAAGTGCTCATGATTCGGCCTCAAGGAAGCCCATCACGCAGGGGAGAGACTCCAGCAAAAGCCACTGGAAGGACTGGATAGTGAAATAGGAAAAAACTAGGGTCCAAGAAGAAATAATATTTATAGAGTGGATATTTAGACAGGGAGGCATAACCAACACTGTCAAATTCTGCTGAGAGGTCAAGATGAGGGCTGATTTAGCACTAGAATACCATCAGTGACCTTGAGAAGAGCCCATTTCAACAGCTCATGGAAGCAGGAGCCACATAGAAATGAAATGAGTAGCAAACAGGTGTGAGTCTAAATCAAACAACTCCATCCTCTACCCACCAAAACACACAAACAAGCAAATAAACAAAACACAGTAGATGAACTGCCTAGGGTTGAAGGAAGGTTATTATTGCTCTTGATGTTCTGCAAGTTGGGAGATGCTAGGACATGTTTGCATAGTGCAAATGATTCCGTAGAGTGGGAGAAACTAATGATACAGTAGAGATGGGGGCCAACCAAAGAAATCATCTGAGTCAGAATTGACCTAAAATAGGGAAGAGATATTTTCTCCATTATAACAGAAGTGAAGGGAGAGAATTGCCGCTAATGGAGGCAGATTTATAGGATCAATAGGGAGTTCGCATGCAGTAGCTGCTCTTTCCTCAAAAAGGACTGAAGTCGTCAGGTGAGAAGAGTGTGGAGAGAGAGAATGGGAGTTTGAAGACAGAGGGGAAGGTGTAAACTGTTTGTCTTGGGAAATGGAGAGTAAGTCTATCAGAGGGACAGTGTAGAGCTGGCAGGCAGTGATGAGTGCCTGACTGAAATGTACTGTCACAGATTAATTGTTTTTAATTTGTTTTGTGCCTTTCTCCATTAATGTCCAGGAGCAGGGACAGAGAAGGAAACAGCACTGGAATGTCCAACAGAGGAGCAAGGCAAGTTCAATGGAGGGAGAGAGGAACAAAGGAGCTGAAGGCACTTGTGAAGGAATTATAATGAAAGACCATGGAATGTAGCCTGGACTACGAGGAAAGTGAGGCTAAGCAGATGCTGATGGAAAATGGGAAATGAATGGGGCCAAAGGATTAAGGGTCTCCATGAAGGCAGACATCTGTGATAGAGGCAGTATCTTCAAGAAAAGAGCAATTGGTAGGTTGGAAAATACGTTTGAAATTGAGATTTAGGACATAATATAGTTTCTGTTGGTTGTAAGGACCAGAGTAGGGTCATAGGAATGAAAAGGGCCAAGAAAGAACAGAAGAAAAGTACGGCTGAATGTAAGAAGGTCAAGGAACAGAGAGCCCAGAGCATTAAATGGCTTATCCCCCTGCTGAACTTGGTTGATGCTTTGTTTACAGGAAATGGGAGCTGTGTACAAATACAGACCGTGACATGGAGCCACAATCCAGCCAAGATATAAATGCCCCACTTGAACTAAGAAGCACACATATGATCCATTCCAGCACTACTCAAGCTTGTCCTGTGTGGCTATACAACTAGCACTTGTGGCGCTCTTTATGGAACATCATGAAATATAGACATATTAAACTGAAAATAGCACAACATAAAATTTTTTGCAACAACAGACACCATTTAAAACTAGACTCTAGTTTTTATAAGTGGAG